GTGCGCACAGAGTGCTCACCCGAAGGGCAGAGGCTGTGGAAGAGGTTGTAGCGGCTGCGGGTTATCCTGGGGTTCCAAAAAAAAAAAAACAAGTGAAGTTGCGTACTTCTAAATACTAAGGTAGGTCTGTCTTTATACACGGTATAATATGATCATTTTAGCTCTACTAGAAAACCAAAGGGAGTTTCCTTTAATCAAGGATTTGTAATATTTCATTGATTGTGTATGCTCCTTTTTTTATTGAGATCCGACAATGTCCAATCTGCCCTGAACAGATTTGTAGCTTTCTCCAATAGGTTGGTGGTTGACTTTTCTTATGAGTCGAAATTAGTCGAGATTTGATTTGATTTCTTGAATCCTTGATCTGTTGCTCTTGATTTGATCTTGATTCCTCGAATCACTTAATATGCTGCTCTTGATTTACTTGCTATCTGTATGAGTGAAATTTACTTTTCCTTTATGGCTTCAATCGAATTGATTCAATCTTCTGTTAGATTGATTTGAGTGAATCAATTTTCTCCTTAAGTGATGGTTGTTGATTAGATGCTTGATGCATCGATCTTCCTGATTTTGTGTGTCTAAAACAAATACATTGGTCTTGATTTTCTTGCGACACAAAGTAGTTTGTCATTAAGCAAAACATCACAAGTTAACATACCATTTAATTTTGTCATTCAGAGCGATATACCCCCCGTTATGAAAGTGATACATATATACCTCTACTGTTATACAAATGGCTCACATATACCATTTTCTTCTAACAAAAGTGAAAAAATTAATTTAAAAAAAAAATATAATCCATATGGGGTATATTTGATCCTCCTCACACATTTTTTTTTTTGTTTCAACTACTAATTTAAATTTATTATTTGGATGGTCAAATTTATTTATCTTTCCCCAATTTCTTGTAAAATTTATTATAGATGCCCAAATTATTTTTACAAATACAAAAACTAAATTACAATATAACCGAAAAACTAGTTTTAAATTATAATATAGCCATAAAAAAATAATTTTAATTTTTTTCTTTACACTAAATAATGAAAGAAAAAAATAATATAAGAATAAGAAACTCAAATAATGATAATCAAAGAAGTAAAAAAATAATTTATGTAAGAAAAAGATTAAAATATATCTTGAAGTTTGCTAGAAGGATCATATATACCCCTACATGATTTTAAAAAAAATTAAAAGTAAAAAATATAAATTTAAAACTATTTTTTTTCACTTATATATGTTAGATAAAGGGTATATGTGAGCTTCTTTTGTAACAGTAAGAGTATATGTGAGTCATTTGTATAACGGTAATGGTATATATGAGCCACTTTCTTAACAAGGGGTATATCAGGTCTAAATAACAAAGTTGAAGGATATATCAGACCATTTTCCCTTAATTCATTCCACTTGAAATATAGTGTGCAAAAAGTTATGGATTATTTTTAATACTTTTTATCATGTACAGAGGTAGGGGAATGAGAAATGGAGAAAGAACGAGAGAATAAGTAGGGATAGCAATAGGACGGGTCAGGACGTGGAGAGGTGGGTAAAGTTTTGCCCTGCCATAGATTCAACACACCCTACCAAGCCCCATTTAATAATTTTTGTTTTCCAACCTGCCCCACCCCGTTTAGCTCCTCTATTTTGTCTTCAAGTTCACAACGGTAATATAGAAAATTTTAAAATAATCAAAATGTAACTAATGAAGTTTTTGATTCTTGTTGGATTAAGAGTATTTTCATTATTATTATTTTAGTTTAGAATCAAATGAAAAAGTTTCAGTATTAGAAAAGTTGGTAATACTACCCAAAATAATCAAAATGAGTTGTCGATCGACTAATAGTGAACACATTATACAAATGGGTCTAATTAGTAATGATTCAAAAGTCAATCTTAACATAAAAGGAAAATATTAATATATAAAATTTCAACCAAAATTTGGCTCAGCTTGCCCCATTTAGAATTTCAGAGTTGTAGTTCTCCCGCCCTATCCTACCCTACGAATATCCTTGATTTTTCTATAGATTTTGGAAACCTGATTTCAAATCAATGATTGTATATGATATCAACACATTATTCAAATCATGATTTTAAATCCCAAAATTATCCAAAAATTAGGATTTGGAATTCCAAATTGTAACTTTAATTTGTTTTAAAATATAAACTTGACCTATCGGTTTATATTTTAAATAAAACAAGATTCATAATTTTAAATTTTATAAAAAATAATAATCATGCTCGGTGTGAAGAGATTGTTTGTATAATATGAGGATTTTATCAAAGAATAGTTAGTTACTATTTTTAAAAAAAATTTATTCAATCAATAAATATATGTAAAATTATGTAAATATGAAAGTTTGTACGTAAGAACATTTAAACATAAATATTTATAAGTACAACATATATGGAGATGTGCAATTTTTTTTAATTTAGCGCATTAGGAATCTTCGTACCTTATTTGTGAACTACAATTTGTTCATTGATTAGATTGTATAAGAATTAGGGATCTTTTGAAAGTTTTCAAAAAATTATGGGCTTTTCCATGTATATAAGAAAAAAAATACAATTAATGAATTACATATTGCATGTTCAAATGAAATTTGAATATCAAATCATGATTTGAAATCATATCTAAATGGATTCTTAGTTTGACCGGACATGAAATTTCAGAAATTAAAGATTATTTTAAACCTTATGGTTGTTAATTAAAGATATGTGTAATGTATCAAAATACCCTCTGATATTCTTGCGGTCTAAAATATGTCATTATGACTCTATTTCTCAGAAGTCATGTAGTATTGTGCAAGAGGATGTATAAACTATCAAAGACTTTAGACCTACATCTCGCTGCTAAATAATGTATATGAACTCATCTCCAATGTCATTTTTCTAATGGAATTAAAAAAAAACAGATATATGGATCGGTTCAGTTAACTTTTATTTAAGGAAGAATTATATCTGATAATATTTCGTTCAGTTATGAATTGGTCCAGGGCTATACAGACAGATAAATATAACCAAGATGGATGATAAAATTGGATCTTCAAAAAATATAGTTGAATGGGACTTCATACAACAGGTGCTATAGGAACAGGCTTTGTGTCACAATCCGAAAATTCAAGTCATGATGACACCTACCAATATCCACTGGTAGGTAAGCAAACCCTAGGCGGGAACGGCAAGAAACAAGCCCAGTGGTAGAAACCTCAAATCAACAGAATTAACAATATAATAAGGAAAATAAACTGCGGAAGAGAAGCGATTACATAACTAAATACAATAATTTATGATCCAATCTCATGACCTGGTGGACAATGGTACAAAGCTACTAAAATGAGTACAAACTCCATAAATAAGCAAAATAAGTACATACTTGTCTCGAATACAAAAGAATAGCCAAAAACTATATGCAAATAAAGATGAGTCAAACTAGAACGCCTTCTATCTTTGAATGTCGCAACAGTTGTACACAAGATCAAAGAGGTTGGCTGGTGCTCAGGTCTGCATTAGGAAAAATAGATGCAGAGTGTATCATGAGTACCAAAATAATAGGTATCCAATAGACATCAAAGTCTAACTAAGCTTGGAAATTAAATATAAAATAGAAAGAGGGAAGTAAAATGGTATCAAGGAGGCAGGAGAATGGAACAATAGCGATAAGTCTAACCATGCGCCTCAATAATCTAGCAAGAAGCGGGACAATAAAGTAAAGCAACTAACATAACTTAACTAGATCTGCATAAGCTTAGAAGGTACACTCGTGCGAAATTGAATGAAAATAACCCAAACAGGCCTCCATAAGCCCGATTAGTACATAGAAGAGCTAAAGTTATTTCTAACTAAGATTAGATCTATTTTAGAACGGGAAAGTCTGAAACCCAGACTTGAATTGCGGCTAAGGGGCCCAAAGAACCCAATAAAAACATGTTGTCAGGATTCAAACCCGACTAATAATCTAAAAGGCTGATGCATACGGTCAGCATAACTCTTATTCCTGCTTTGTGCTGATCTAAGCATATCCTGAATCACACGAACTATATTCAAAGCCTCTTGAAGCAAATCAGTACCACGTGGCCTAGGATCTGAAGCCTTTAATGGGAGAGTGAAAACACCTACCATATAAGGCCTTAAATGGAACAATTTGAATACTCGAATGGTAGATGTTGTTATACGCAAACTCCGCTAAGGCTAAGAACAAGTCCCATTGACCTCCAAAATCCAACACACAATATGCCCAAAACATATCTTCCAAACCTGATTAGTATGCTTCAACTGCCAGTCAGTCTGCAGATGAAAAAGTTGTGCTAAGGTCGACTCAGGTACCCAACTCCTCCTAAAAGTTTCTCTAGAAGCTAGAAGTGAACTGAGAAGCCGTATCATATATAATAGACACATGCATCCCATGATGACGAACTACCTCCTGAATATACACTAAGCTAACCTCTCAACACTTAAAGAAGACTGAATGATAATGAAATGTGCTGAATTAGTCAATCGATCCACGATTACCCAATACTATCGACACCTCTAGAAGTCTGAGGCAATCCCATAACAAAATCCATAGTGATGCGTTACTAATTGAACTTTGAAATGGGTAATCTCTTAAACTCACCACCAAGCCTCAAATGCAATATCTCTACTGATACCACTCCAAAAGTCAATTAGATTATTGACATGATATTTCCTCCCCTATCTACTAGTATAATACTCCCTCTGTTTATCTTACTTGTCCATATTTGACTTGACACATCTTAATAAATAATAAATAATAAAATAATTTTAACATATAACCCCTATTGATTATAAGACATCGAAATATTTAAAGTTCCCAGCAACTACTAAAAACTTCTTTCATGATTTACCATGTGCATTAATTAGTTCATGTAATTACCAATATGCAATTTCATCTATAAAAAGGTATAGCCACACAAAGTGAAATTCACCAAATCAATAAACTTAGAGAGAGCTATCAGAGAGTATTAAAAACTTGAAGTAGTTGAAAAATGGCTGGTGAGAAGGAAACAACTAAAGTGGCAATTGATAAGTATAGGCGGTTCCTGCATGAAGATCATGTTGCAGGTGCAGGAACTATGGGGTGGAGACATGGTAGCCCTCCAATTTATGACAGTGTTAATAATGTCTTTGACCAAGGAAGAACCAAGGTATGTTAAAGTACTCCATCCCTCTTAATTTATGTGATATTTTTTTCAATTTCGAGAGTCCATTGCAATTTTTCATGTCTTATAGATATTTTGAGTTGTTAGTTATTGTGATATGTACTCCCCCTTGGCCCATTTACTTACTGTGTCAAATAATCCTTGCTTATTGATCTTAATTTATTATTATTTTCTTTCTTCATCACATTATAATCTCTCTCTACATTTATATATTGATTAAGGTAAGTATGAAAATTAAGATTTAATAATATATTGATTTTTTAAAATGACAAAATTTTGGATCTTCTTACTTTTTATTAGCACAGGAACTAAAATAGATCGGATGGAGTACTATTTTTTACGTAGTTTTTAAAAATATAAATTTTCTTTTAAATGATTTAAAAATTTATATTAGAATTCACGGTTAAAATTAAGAAATTTGGCTTTTAAAATGTGATCAATGTCCCATGATTGAAGTAGTGATATTATCATCTTTCTTGTCAATATGATTTGTTCTATTTGGTTTCATGATTAAATCAGGTATGGCCAGAAGGGTGTCTTGAAGAAACAATACAAAATTCTATAAAGACATTTGAAATGGAGCTTAAATACAAGACTTGCATAAAGGACTTTAGGACCATTAACCCTGAAAAATTCAAGCTCTTTGTTAATGGTAAGACTTACAAAAATCAATTGTCGTTTCTTTTGATGTCTAGATTTAAATTATTCAGACCATTTTTTTTCTTATATGATAGAAAAGTATTTCAAACCTCAGTTCATCAAGTATATTTTGTTTTAGTTAAAAAAAAAAACAAAGGACATATAAATAAGGGCAAAATGGGGCTAAACAAAGTAGGATGAGCTAGCTTTTGGGATTGAGTTAGGCCCAAGTATCATATCTTTACATGGTATCGAAGCCAAGTCCATCCCCGTTTGGGCTCCCGGTCCACGGTCCAGTGGGGTCTGGGCGTGAAGGGGGGTGTTAGAGTAGGTAAAAATCTCACATTGGTATTGGTTGGAGAATGGACTGATGGTCTCGGACTTGGTCAAACCTCCCTTCATGAGCTAGCTTTTGGGATTGAGTTAGGCCCAAGTATCATATCTTTACATGGTATCGAAGCCAAGTCCATCCCCGTTTGGGCTCCCGGTCCACGGTCCAGTGGGGTCTGGGCGTGAAGGGGGGTGTTAGAGTAGGTAAAAATCTCACATTGGTATTGGTTGGAGAATGGACTGATGGTCTCGGACTTGGTCAAACCTCCCTTCATGAGCTAGCTTTTGGGATTGAGTTAGGCCCAAGTATCATATCTTTACATGGTATCGAAGCCAAGTCCATCCCCGTTTGGGCTCCCGGTCCACGGTCCAGTGGGGTCTGGGCGTGAAGGGGGGTGTTAGAGTAGGTAAAAATCTCACATTGGTATTGGTTGGAGAATGGACTGATGGTCTCGGACTTGGTCAAACCTCCCTTCATGAGCTAGCTTTTGGGATTGAGTTAGGCCCAAGTATCATATCTTTACATGGTATCAGAGCCAAGTCCATCCCCGTTTGGGCTCCCGGTCCACGGTCCAGTAGGGTCTGGGCGTGAAGGGGGTGTTAGAGTTGGTAAAAGTCCCACATTGATATTGGTTGGGGAATGGACTGATTGTCTTCTTATATGAACTTGGTCAAACCTCCCCTCATAAGCTAGCTTTTGGGGTTGAGTTAGGCCCAGACGCCATATCTTTACAAAAACAAAACCTTAGCAGGAGAAGACTCAATCGCTCCCCCTTCCCTCTCCTCCCTGTCCCACCCCATTGTCATCCATACCTCCATTTCATCACACCATATACCAATACACCCACCCATCATACGACCCCCCCCCCTCCCTCCTCCATCATATTTAACTATTTCGAAATAATATATCCTGCTTATATATAAAACACAAAAAAAAAATATTTATTTTTGAGAAAATTATTTTCTGTTGAAAGCATTTTTCTTCCTAATTAATTTCTACTAAATATTTTTTTCATTATTTTATGTCGGCAACAACAGGAAGAGAGGGACTGTCAGCAGAAGAGACACTAAAAGTTGGAGGTTACAATGCGCTATTGAAGAATTCATTGCCGAATGAATTCAAATACCACAAAGAAGACCAAGAGACCTTTGAATCGTCTCATACTGCTTTTCGATCAGCTTTTTCAAGAGGATTCGCCTGGGAAGTGATCAACGTGTATACTGGCCCTCCTGTTGTGACATACAAATTCAGGCATTGGGGTTTCTTTGAAGGACCATTTAAAGGACATGCCCCTACTGCTGAGATGATACAGTTCTATGGCATTGGCATTATGAAGGTCTAACTCTCTCTCTCTCTCTCCCTCCCTCTTATATATACATTTTTCGTTTTAATTTATGTTGAGTTTTTTAATTAGGCACAAAATTTAACTAAAACAAGACTTTGAAATTTGTGATTCAATACAAAACATAGGTATATTGTGGCTGCAAATTATGTAATGATGAATAAAATGACAATCTTAAAGTTATGTTATTTCTAATTTTAAAAAGAAATTGTCATGTCACATAAATTAACAAAAAAAACAGTATATCATTTCCTATTTTATTTTACTTGCTCGTGTTTACTGATACTCTCCTTAAAAAATATTTATCTGGGGTTTATTTTATAATTAACTTTATTATAGTCCTACTACTAGTACTACTTCAAAGGCGTGCCATTAATTTTTAAGGCAACTTCATTTCGTTCAAATTGTTCGCTTAAGTATAGTAATAAAAACGTAGAACGTTCTACATAGTGAGATTTTAGTTTAGTAATAAAAACGTAGAACGTTTGAATTTGAATCATATCTATATATTTAAGTTCTGGCAAAAGGTATGGGGTGTGCCCATACTTATTAGATTCAAATTTGCCATCGAATAACCTTAGAAATGGTTAATCTTGAACATTTGACCCCACTTACTGGGTCAAAACTCAAATGTGATGCCATTGGGACAAAACTTTTATGAAATTTGACTAGGCGGATCAAAACTCAAATTTAGTATTATTTTTTTCCTATTTTATTTTACTTACTCATGTTGACTAGATACTCTCCTTAAAAAATTATTTATCATGGGTTTATTGTATAATTAACTTTATTAATTGTATTACTACTAGTACTACTTCAAAGGCGTGCCATTAATTTTTAAGGCAACTTCATTTCGTTCAAATTGTTCACTAAAGTATAGCCCCTCGAGGTTTTAGTTCAGTAATTAAGACGTAGAACATTGTAAATTTGAATCATAACTATGCCAAAACCTAAAATATTTAAGTTCTGGCAAAAGGTAGAGAAATGTGCTCATACTTGTTAGATTTAAATTTACACACCAAATAACCTTAGCTTGGATTGATCTTAAACATTTGACCCCACTTGCCTTTGGATAAACCTTCAAGATCAAAACTCAAATGTGTTGCCCTTGAGACAAAATATTTATGAAATTTGAAGTTTCGTCCATGAGACAAGCGGGATCAATGTCCAAGACCACCTATTTACTAGGTCATTCCTATAAATCACCTCGGCTAGAATCTCATCCAGTCACTGGGAATCGGTCCAACATAAAGAATTAAAGTTGTTCACTTACATTAACATAAAACTTATGAGTTTAACGAACTAATTGTTTTTGTATATTAGCAGGTAGATAAATCTCTAAGAGTAGAGGAATTAGAGTTGTACTATGATCCAGCAGAACTTTTTGGTGGACTACTCAAGGGACCAAAAATTTCTGAATCTAACACTGAGCATCAGGGCCAGGATGATAATACCACCACTCAACATTGCCCATTCAACCACAACTAATTATGTCAAATTTCAGTTCTACTTTCGAAATAGTCATGTTTTAATAAAGTGTATGCAACTCTATTTCCAAATAAATATGTTTTAATAAAGTGTATGCTACTCTATTTCCAAATAAATATGTTTTAATAAAGTGTATGCTACTCTATTTCCAAATAAATATGTTTTAATAAAGTGTATGCTACTCTATTTCCAAATAAATATGTTTTAATAAAGTGTATGCTACTCTATTTCCAAATAAATATGTTTTAATAAAGTGTATGCTACTCTATTTCCAAATAAATATGTTTTAATAAAGTGTATGCTACTCTATTTCCAAATAAATATGTTTTAATAAAGTGTATGCTACTCTATTTCCAAATAAATATGTTTTAATAAAGTGTATGCTACTCTATTTCCAAATAAATATGTTTTAATAAAGTGTATGCTACTCTATTTCCAAATAAATATGTTTTAATAAAGTGTATGCTACTCTATTTCCAAATAAATATGTTTTAATAAAGTGTATGCTACTCTATTTCCAAATAAATATGTTTTAATAAAGTGTATGCTACTCTATTTCCAAATAAATATGTTTTAATAAAGTGTATGCTACTCTATTTCCAAATAAATATGTTTTAATAAAGTGTATGCTACTCTATTTCCAAATAGTCATGTCTGAATAAATTTTATGCAACTCTTTATGTCATTAGACTTTCTCTATCTATATTTTTTGATAGGATGATTGTCTTTCAGTCTTCTTGTATACATTTAGATATACCTACTCTTCTCAAGCCATAATGATTATGTAACTATATATGTCGGAAGCTACCTTTTAGTGATGCCACTGCTACCCTCTAACAATGGACCTGACAACCCGTCAGACATGGGACTGTCCATCATGGTTTCCATAATTGGTGTACTTTTGTCTGATCTTAGCTCGATTTTACTTTCTTTCCCTTGTTGTGTGATTTCATGTCCATCATAGTAGAAAAACCATTAAATGACACTACCTTTTGCTTAAGAATTAGTAACATTTATTCATAGTTAAGAGCATCAAATGTATCGTCTAATGCCGCCACATCAACACCCTCAACTTTGAACATTTGATTGTCCTCAAGCAACACCTAACACTGTATTTACATGCCCATGAACTATCAACACTCACAACAGTTACAAAGCAACACTTCAACAAGGTATGCATATGTCTATTAGTTAACGCATCAACTCAAAAAGAATCTAAGGATGACATCAGAATATCAAGAAGCAACTTGGCATGCACCATAAGCAATTTTCTCAACAATCAGACAACTTAATGCCCTCACCACAAAGAAAACTCTATCGCTAACATATAAATATTTGTGTATCAGAGACAATACAAAATACTCACTCCCATAATGAAATTTAAACCATGCATACATAACCCATAGGTTTGCCCTTATTATTTTCACACTTAACTTTACAAACAATTAGACTAGGATCACTATAGGACTTTTTTGACTTATAGCATAGGCTCGGGGTGAAGGGAGGATACATTTCGGAGCAATGACTACGCCCTCCTTAACACCCTCTTTACCTTGTTTTCCTTTTCTTTTGTTAGCAGCCTTTTCTCTTCCTTCTAGTCCTTAATTTCTAATATTTTGAATGTGACTCCCCTTCTTCTCTCTCATTTCATTTACTATTCCCTTTTTTTTTCAATTTGAATACAAATACATTCAACCTATCTTAATACACCACATCCACATGTTTTGATTATTGTTTATTTATCTTTTTTATACTCCATTGTTCTTTTACTCTTACTCACAATAGCCACCCTTAACTTAGGCATTTTGCCTAATTTGAGGTACATGATATCTAAGGAGAGACTAGCTAGGGCCAAAGTAGCAGTTTCAAAAAAGACGGGAAAGGTAACAACAAACATGCTTTCATTTAGGCTCAAAATTAGAAATCAAAGGATTATTTCATTCTTTGCTTAGTCTTATAGACTGGGTGGGCTAAATTCAAAAATGTCATATGATCCTTTCCTAATCCATTATATTTCAGTCAGTGCAACATATACCAGGCAAGTTCTAGATGCATACACAAGCTAGGAATAATACAAAACGCTTACATCCACATGGAATAGTTTGCACTATCGCTTCTAACGGTCAAGTTTTATACACATGGCTTAAGGACAATTATTTTATTCATAATCAATAGATATCACACAGAGATGCTCAACATTTAATATAACCAAAAATACATTTCATTCCATGCACAATGTTGAACACTTTCACTATTAACTGTTGCAAACATTTTTAGTACGTACATACTTCTTTTTATTGACACACACTCAACTAACATAATGTATTTACACAAACCACACTACTAAACATGTCAGTTCTACTATATAGCATTTAAGGGAAAATAAACACAACAACAAAAAACCTTAGGTGATGTGACACGCTCAACCCCTTTTAAAAAGACATGCACTGTCCTCAATGCATAAAAAAAACAATAAAGCTTAGGAGTAGGGTTTACCGATGAAGCTCTAGGCATTGGAGTCTAACCTCGTGGTGGGGAATCAGTCGCCCCAATAACATCTGTAGTGGTGACCAACATTCTCAATGATGTCTCAGTAGGAACTTTCATAGCTGTTGTGGAATAATAGGAATCTGCGACTCCATAGAAGTATCAAATCTCAGCTAATAGTGAACTAGAAGAAGCCCAAGATGCACGAGCTCTCAACTCAACCAATCTCAGCTCCTCCTTGAGTTGCGACCTCCTCTATTTATTCATGCTCAAGGCGTCTCTCTTTCTACGACTTCTCTTTAGGGATCTGACCTTTGTTTCCTCCAATTGTTGCTTGGCCGATGCTTTAGTGAACATACATATATAATAGATTCATAAATGGTTACGTTAGTCCTCCTCCGACCTATAGAATCAGGAACACCTCTGCCATCCTCTCTCTCAACTAAATGATATTAGCTTGGGCTTGGGAAAGCTCAGCCGCAAACTTTACCAAATCAACCACAGTCAACTCTCATAGGCGGTTATTAACCTGGCTCTCATGTCGTCCATTTGTGCATGTAGATATCTATATGAAATAAATGTCGTTGTGATATCCCTATCAACAAATGGACCAAGCTATTCAGCAAATAACTTCACTCGATCGTTTCTCGTGTCCTCTTAACTAGTCTCATAAAGTTTGGCAGTATATATAAATCCATATTGTGAAGGTTGTGGCAACGATGAAGTAGTCTCGTGTTGTGTCCTCGTAGACTCTATAGATGGTGTCGAAGTTGGTTTCTTTAGGCATCATAGGACGCTCTCCAACCTCATGATCCCCAACTTAATCTACTGGGTAAATACCTATGGCACCCACATTTCAAGCCTTGACTCATACCGCATCTTTTTAATATCAAAATTTTTAGTAACCACATCAATGCCCTCTAAAATAGGCACCTCAACCCACCCTTTTGCATAGACTCGTCACCAACCATATATAGGAATGGTAGTGAAGTAGTGTTCTTCCTCCTAACCCTATGCCTTATTTTCTTATCAATGAGTCTCCCAAAATCTATAGGGAACAAGCTTTCCACTAATATTGCCTTTTCCTCTCCAAGTGTGTTGTCACCTCTGGTGGGGAACAACCTGAATCTCACAACACAACTTGCAGGAAAAGTCAGTGATGCCTTTTGAATCCGCTCCCTAGCTAGTATTTGCCAACCACAAGGGTTGACCTTGAAGAGTTTGAGAATTAAAGCAAACTTGAATGATTTTATTCATTGCTTACATCTGCTTAAATACAAGTAAATGCAACTAACTTGACTAAATTGAAGGAACCAACTCTACTAGCTTTAAGCAACTAATCTAACAACTTAATCTTATCTAAAAGATTAGTTGACTTATTCAAACTAATTCAAAATTTAAACTTAAGATACTAACAAATAGATAACCACATGTTTATCTCAATAGCCTCAACTTCCCATATATCATCTAAAACAATGAGGTATCTCTTGTTCATTAGACTCTTGCGCAACTTGTCAGGCATGTCTTCATTTCGTATACCATCCACACTGCCTAAAACTTGTTTAAGAATCTCAGAGCACATCTTCCTCAAATTATATTCTTTTGAAATAGAACACCATGCTTGAACGTCAAAGTGTTTATCCACGCTTGGATGAGTGAACACCTTTTTGGCCAAAGTTGTTTTGCCTAGTCCAGGCATTCCAACAATCGAGACAACGTCTAGTTCCTCGGTACATCCAGTCAATTTCTGTATTATACTTTCCGCATCTTCCTCAGGACCAAGATATGGGATTTGGTCCCAAGAAGAGCATATGACCCGATGTTGAGATTCTGTCACTGGGATCACCTGCCCAGTCAGCATCAGCATACATATACAAATTCCTATCAGCATGATGACGAATTTCCAAGCACGATGTTGTTGTTGACTTGAGGTAGCGCAGAACCCTTTTTACAGCCTTCCAATGTTCCAGACTTGGAGAATGCATAAATTGGGATAATTTGTTTACTGCAAATGAGATGTCAGGACGCGTGAATGATAAGTATTGCAGCTTACCCAGAGTGCGTCGATAGAGGGTTTCATCGGCGGGGGGTGAACCATCATCTGCTTTAGGTGGCGAGCTGGAGCACATCGGTGTGGCAACCCCTTTGCAATCTGTCATATCCACATCAGATAGAATCTCAAGAATATATTGAGATTGAGATAGGATGATCCCATTTGGAACACGCTTAACGTCTATTCCCAAGAAATAATTAAGTTCACCAAGATTCTTTAGTGAGAACCTGCTAGCCAAAGAGTTGATGACCTGCGCAACTAAGTTTGGATGGTTCCCAGTAATGAGAATATCATCCACATATACTAAAATGTAAACAGTAACAGCCAGGGATTTAAAAATGAACAGTGAGGCATCTGATTCGGACTTAACAAATCCAATAGTATTCAAATAAGCCGTGAGGGCCTCATACCAGGCGCGCGGGGCTTGTTTTAGGCCATAAATGGCCTTTTTAAGGCTGCATACATGATCTGGAAAATTAGAATTGACATAGCCTTTTGGCTTA